ATTTTTATCTGATAAATCTAAAATTTGGAATTTTTGAATTAACAGCGTATGTACGTGGACATAACATTCAAAATATTACAATGCAAACGCAAAACTGTGCAATCTAGAATACGACAAACAAGAACTGTTTCGCGTTGGCTGACGATTACCTACGATGACGATGCAATCTCCCACGTAGTATCTCCTCGTCCACCACGAAACGTTCGCTATCAACCTTAGCTAAATGCAACCGTCCGCAACAACATCCGCCGCGTGGATTTTCAGTCGTGACCTAACTAAAGGGAGACACAGTTTCCCTTATCTCTAAAACGTACCTGCAACCGGGGAAGCTTTCTTCTTGGAACTATCATGCCCGGGACGAAGTTGGCGAATAAGAGAAATTCCGGCGGTTTCCTCTCGGCAACGCCTTCCCGGTTTCTATCTCGCGAACTGACGACTCTCGTCTTCTCCAGGAGGTCGACCTCGTGCCAGACGTGCTACCGGAAGATTACAAAGTTTGTCCGGAACTGCCGCACTGCGGACTTAACTGCAACCGCGTCAAGGACGAGGATGGTTGCCCGGTGTGCGCCTGTCAGACGTCGCCGCATTATCCGCTGCCGAACGTCACCGCCCTGGATACGAATGACAAAAAGGTTTGCCCCGAAGTTAATTGCGACCTTCACTGCGAGCTCGTCATGGATGAGAATGACTGCACTTTCTGCGAGTGCAAGCCCGATTGTCCACCACTCCTCGGATGTAGAAAGAAGTGCAGCTTCGGTTATAAGACAAATAAACACGGCTGTCCCGTAAGTGCCGCACTCAAATTTATTATTATTATTTTACGATAAATAAATAAGAATAGAAAAATAAAAATAAAAATGTATTGTTAAAAGTAATTAAAGAATAAGAATAAGAATAAAAAATTATATACATCTCGAAGAATTATTTGATAATGGTATAATTTGGTTAAAAGCACTGACAGATTTTATCTTGCAGATATGCCGTTGTCGAGCTACATGCAAGGATCATTTGAACAAGACACATCCGGAGGGATCGACTTGGCATCCGAACAGCTGTTCCACGTGCACATGCGAGTCTGGTGGACAGCGTAGTTGTACTAAAACCATGTGTTTGGTGGCCTGCAATAATCCATCGCCACCGAAACCAGGCACTTGTTGCCCCGTATGTCCGATTACAGTGAGTTTTGACTTCATAACGCATATTGATGAAGTGCACTTGGCACTGATTATATGACATTGACACTTTTTGACATTATATAAATATAATTTATTTTTTTAATTATTTTAAAAATATTAAGAAAATATAAATATTTAAGATTTGTTCAAATTATGAGAAATGGAATTATTACTTAAAAGAACTTAAAAAAAAAAGACAATCTAGAAATTACTATTATTACGTTTTTGTTTCAGACAAAAGAGAACGACATGATTAATCAGATCACCAGCCGAGGTTGGGGCACAGTACCGATTACGTTAATTGTCGTACTCGCGTTGCTGTGTCTGCTTCTGATAATCCATATCGTGCGCAACCGATTCCGCGGCCGTCTGTCACCTTCGGAAGCGTCGTATGCGTCATACCCGCCACAATATTACAAGTGTGTGCCCGTGTATGACACCCCGGTGCATCGGAATGAAAAGATTGTACCTTTATAAAAGACTGTTGTTGATTCCCAAAGAGAGCGCGTGTTTATCAATGAGCAATGTGCAAAAACAATTTTTCCCATTCGCCAAGACTATTTTATACATGATTGCCGACGAGATTTTACGATCCAGAACTTATGTGACGACTGCGATTACATGACATCGATCTCTTACTCTTAAACGGATCTTTTGTCTGTAAATTGGGCTTATTTATAATCAGAAAGATATATTAAAGTATCTTATAAATAAATATATATCGATATAAAAGAATATAGAAATTTGAAAAATGTTTCAGAAATTATATAAATTTTTATTAAGTGCCAGCATTTTATTAACTTTGTGCGTATATATTAAATGAATTATATCCTTATGAATGAAAGAAATCCCTTTAAGAGTTAGTGGTAGCGAAAGAATTGCAATTCGTCGATAATCCCACAAAGAAAATTCAAATACATGCGCGTGAAACTGCTGTTAATGTCTCGCTAATTCGATGTTAAAGCGAATATTGGCAAAAGCGAAAAACGGAATGCTGCACGCGAGACTGCGTAAGAAAGTCTCTCTTTGGGTATGGCTGAAAATACTTTGGGTAGATTCAGTATTATTTGTAAGTGGCAGTGAGTGTTGTGAACTTTGGAAGGGAGAAAGAGAGATAAAGAGAAGTGAGAGAGAACCGCCAATTCGCACCAACCTTGTGCTACGTTTGCCGAGCCCTCTTGAATCCCTTAACTTAATATTGACACATTGTGTAACCTGTAAATTATAATATAATTAAAAATGTAGCGTAATTACGATAATTAATATAAGTATAAATGTATTAAAAAAATGTTAACCCACTGTAGGACTCTAACTTAAATGGAAAGTCGTAAAAGAGACAGGTCTACATTGTAGTATTAGTTCCCTTGATCTCTGGACCATCATTATTATATTAATGAATGTTTATACGAAGCAAAAGGTATTCTTTTTTTGCTTTATGCGAATATTTAAATCCGCAACAATTCGAAGCGGATAAAGATTTTTTAATTCTTTTTAAATTCTTATATTATTGAAAATTTTTTTTATCACAGTCCACGTTTTTCATTTTCTGTATTCTTATTTCATTTTCTATATTTTCTTTTAAAATGTATTCTTTTGCTTTCTCAGATACTAATTTCTGATTTATCTAAGCTTTATTTCAACCGCTCTTGCGGTTGATTCGATGAGAACAACAAGTTTTATAGACTTAATCGTAGACTAGCTGTTAACAACTGTGTTATTAGACTGTTCCTATGTTTCACATGTTTTATTATTAATATAAATTCTCGTTCTTACTCGTCGTGAGTACAAGTGTAATATTTATATCCGACGAGAATTCCTAATTCTGCTGTCGTAGGAATAAAAAGCCACCGCACCACGCGAGAGGAGATGGAAGTACATGTACATATACCATAAAAATTTAGATTAAGGTGAAATTGAAACGACGCGCGAAAGCCTTCGGTTTCCTCGAAACTCTGTCGCGGTATGATCGACCGACTGTAAGATTTACGCTCGGCACGATGCAAGCGGCAGGTATCCCGGTGCGCGGATCACGATAACGTTACATAATACACGATTACGTTCCGTAATTTCTTGGTTGCTTGTACATATATACGCCCGGAAGTTCGTTCTTCGGCGGCTTGCGAATTCTCGGGTGGTAAACCCAAATTATTTTCGGATGTTAACTAACTAACAGCACGCTTAGATAGACGCACCTCTCCTGTTCGTACATATTTCACGCTGCGGTGAAGAGTGCGGTGATCGGTGATAAGATAATATAACATACAAAGTACGCAACAGACAAAGCGCTTATGAAAGTGTATAAATAGAGATGAAAGGTGAAAAAAAAAAGAAACGAAAATTCGAGAGGTGAAAACGAAGCTAATAAAATAATACGCACAGAAATAATTGATAATTGGAAAGGAAGGAAAATTTGAAAATTATATTGAAGGAAAAAAGTTATTTCGAACGACCGAATAGCTGATCCCTCGCCACCGCCGATGAATACATATCCATGTGCTTACTCAAATGCACGTAGCTTGTCTTCTTCCTCTTCTCAATTAAAACACATATATATATTTTTTCAATGTGACTCGTCCTATATATCTCACATGTATAACCACATAGCCTATATTAGACTTATTTATACGTACACGTGTAATCGTGTATAAACACGTGCGCGCATACGATACGTTTATTGTCTATAAACCGCAGGCTGTATTTCGCACGTGTATATGTACTTCAGAGAGACAATATGTACGTAGTATATCGACGAGACAGATCCGGATAGCGATATATATCAGTAAGGATTATTTCTTTCATTGTTATCATACGCAGGATGTTAATAATAATAATAACATCGATAGTAACAATAACAATTAATGATAAACAATAGTAGTAATTATTTAGCACACACGCAGTCAGTCCTTGGCAACGATCCAAAGCGGACAGTGCATACAATAAAATTTGTGATAAACGGAAATTGGACATTCGTCTGCGCTTTGCAAAAAAGAAGATTTGTGACTTTCTCGAGAAATTTTGTAACGTATACGCCCACAGGATTTGTGATCTATCGTTGCGATGCCGGTCCAACGTATTCGATTTATCCCCGATCCCCTATTTCATCTCCCCTCTGGGGAGGTAAATGACACCGTTTAATCAATCGCACTGGGAAGGAGCGGATTAAACGTGGCTTGCTTTTTTTGTCGTGCTCGACAAAAAGCGAGGCAAATCGCGCTCGTTTGCGGTGAAAAAAATTACAAGAGGCACAAATGTCATGTTTGACGTCGTTCGATTCCATCAATATAAAAATCTGCCATCTAAAATGATATAAAATTATAAATCGTTATTTGTATTATTGAAAAATAAAGGTGAAGTCCTTTATCGAAAATCGAAATATATCATATTTATATAGAAAATTTGTAACTTAAGACATCACACATGGAACGTACGGATGGGAACATATTTTATATCCCGCGCTAGATATCCAATTATTCGCATAAAAAAACAAATCCTAATGTATAGGGCGTCCTGAGAAAGATGTACAGAAATGATTATTAAAAATTGCAGATATTATTAATTATTCCTACAAAGGATATGTTTGTTTTTGGATTTAAAATTTAT